AGAAGACCGACATGAAACAACGTTGTGTTGTGTTTCGTCGTGTGAGTTACCGGGGTCCCAATTACCCTCCCCCCCTTTCCCCAATCCCTGAATCCCCAACAATCCTCAAATTCCTAATCCAAAAGGCCGGTAACGCACTTGTAACGCCTCTGGTGTTCCAGGTGTCCAGGGGCGACGTCGATTGCTTACCATCAGGTGATCCGTCTGCTCGTTTACCGGCTTATCCAATAAAATAAAAAAAAATAAAGGAATTTATTGTTATGGTCACTCCCACATGTTCCTTACTCATAAGACCTATTGATACGTTTTCATTAGACGAAGTACATTACATTTTATAAGTAATAAAAGTGTTCGAAGAAGATTAAAGGAATTGAGGAACATGAAATTCTCAACTTTTCTTTGATTACTTGTTTTACTACGTTTCACGACTATTCTGGACCGTTTGTGATGTTATATCGATAGTATGACGCCTGGGAAAAATAGGTTCCCTTTTATCTGCACGGAAGAAGCCGTGGCCGGACGTTAATTCAGCGTAACGACATTTTAGTATTATGTAGGACGAGTTCCGAATACCGTCGGCCGTCGGATGTGTGGCAAGAGGCTGGCTCCATGTCGTGGTGACCCGGAGGTTAAGGCAACCGCTTCTTAAGCATGAGGGTACCGTATTTAATGAGACACCAGTGACAGATGGTACTGAGTGAGGGTAAACATAGTGAGGAAACCTGAAAATATAATTTCAAGTGTGTGTGTGTGTGTGAGTGTGTGTGTGTGTGTGTGTGTGTGTGTGTGTGTGTGTGTGTGTTAAAAAAGGATTGTATTTCGATTTGTATTTCATTCTGTTAATTTCTTTGAATAGTTTAATGAGCACCTCTCGCCATTAAACGTAATAGTTTGGCGAGTTAAGAGTCAATGCCTCTCTGTAAAACTACATTAAATAAAATATTTTAATAACTGTCGTGAGACATACTGAATGAACCAAAAATCGCGGGTTACTCGCGTGAATATACTGAGAAAAGCTCGTAGGTTAAGTACAGTAGGCTGCATACCGTCTGCGTTGTCATGAGGAAGAAACCTTCTGTGGTTCGAAACTAGTAGAGCTTTTCTCAGTATGTTCACGTGAGTAACTCGCGATTTTTAGTTAAAAAATTATTAGTTTGAAATTTATTAATAATTTTCTAATCCGCCTTGAGCAAACATGGTCATTAAAGTTTATTCTTTTTCCGTTTGAGAAGAGGTCTTTTTCCAGCTTCCTCACATAAATATGTAGTTATGGGTTGATGATAATGGTAGTTATAGGATGTCACATGACATGGGACTCTACGTAAGTAAACGAAAAGTTTGTTTTACATTATTCATATTGTGTTTACTCCTGTTTAGAAAATGGTGCAAAGTGCTTACTTTAGTGAAAAAGGTGTTGTTCATAAGAAATAAATTATTCTGCGAGTTCATTTAAAATTGTAATATCTGTCGCCCGACGTCCGTCGGCGTCAGTCGCTCATTTTGGGACAAACTTGATTTAAAATTTCAATATTTTTAATAACTTGGTCTTTTCTAAATAATGATTCATAAGATTTTTACCTTTATAACTAAGTTTAATATATTAATAGTATTAGGTATTTGTTAGCTAACAACTGGGAAAGCATGTAATGCATGTACTTATTTATCATGTAATATTTTTTATTAACTGATATCTTCGATGGAATATACTGTCAAACACCGCGAGGACATCGGTGGCCGCAACCTATTGTTCTTTAACTCGTCGAGTACCGGTTTTGTAGACACAATTGTAGAACAATAGGTTGCGGTCACCGGTGACCGCTTGGTGTTTGACAGTTTAATTGTGTCTATAATGACGGTACTCGACGAGATATAACATAAACATAACATCACTCCTTTGTTCCCCGAAGAGGTAGGCAGAGGTGCACATTATGGCACTTAATGCCACTGTACAATGTAACACCCAATTTTCACTATTTATATTATGAATAATAGGAGGTGAGCCTATTGCCATATACCGGATACATTTCCAGGCTCCGTGGTACTACGGAGATTAATAAAAAACCCAGTAATACTTTGCTCGACCCGGGAATCGAACCCGAGACCCCTTGCCCGGCAGTCGTTCTTGCGACCACTCGGCTAATGAAGCAATTTTTCAGTTAGTATCATCACATAAACTATAGATTTCTGCAAAATTCCTAGTAGGTATTCCATTCTTAATTTTATTAATCGAAAACAATTACTAGGTTTAATTTCACGCTGCTTTCTAATAACTCCACTTCGTGAGAAACAACAATAACAGGTTGGCAGTTTGTTACGCAGGCATAGCCGCGGTATATCGTTAAAGTTGTACGACCTGACAATTGCGCTGATGCTGCGCCTCGTGTTGCTCGAAGGCGACACCATTTACGCGAACTGTGTGATTGCGCCACGGGTAGATTCCAATAAGTATTCTTTGGTCAATCGTTGACTTATGAATACTAATTAGAATTATAATAATTAATGTAATTTTCATTCTTTCAATATAACAATCATTAAGTTAAACATCGTTTTATTTGACTGCTTCTGCTGCCACCGAATATCTAGTTTAAAAATGAATACCGACGTCAAAACAAGGGTGTGCTCAGTTTCAACTGTATGTATGTACCTTTGTGCGCGACTACCTCGCGATTGGTTAAACATATTTTGATGCGGTTTTCAGAAAATTGTGTCTTACACTTTGGACAGGTTTTAGTATATTAATATATTAAACGCCATGGGGGTCACTGGTCACGGGCATAAACGGAGGATTAGCCTTCAACAATTTTCTATTGGCAGTCAAAGCCTTAATTAACCGATTTCCAAAAAAGAGGGGTTTGAAGTAGGTTTTTTTGAACGTAGTTTATAATTATCAAATTCTGTTTATTCCTAGACTAATGAAAGTGATGAGGAATAGAGATAATAAGAGTATTACAAGAGAGTCCTTCAAACCTATAAGATTTTTAAAATTAAATGTTAGGGGTTGCTAAAACTGTTAAATCTGCGGAAAGATCACACAAAACGAGACCTAAATAAAATATTTACCTTTTATTGCTTCATGATTTCATTGAGAACAATTATTGTTTTGGTATGTAATCATACAGTGATTAAAAGATGACGGTGATGGTAAGAAACAAGATTAGTTTTTCATAAAAGAAAAGAATTCAATGTTTCTTTTATGTAATAATATGTAGTTGCTAATTCCTTTTTCTTGTATAGTAGCACTATTTCTATGGATTGTCAGTATGCATATGTGAGCACCATGTTAGACTCAAGATTTTTATTTTTTTTTATTTTAGTAAGTTATTCAAGCGTGTCTTTGCATTGTTCTTACATATGTGTACAGTATTGAAATATGTATCAGAGACATTGTAGAACATACTTTTTTAAAAAAAGAGTAACGAATGGAGTTTCTTGCTCGTTCTTCTCCATTCGAATCTACATTTTGGAATGAGCACCTAGCTTCACCTAATTTCACTGACGGCCTGACTGACAGACTATTATTTATTTTGTATTTGTCGACGTTTCAAAAGTATCGAACTATGGTTTAATTGAAATAAATGCTTTGACTTTCGTTGTAATCAATTGTTGTAAACTATTGTTAACAACTGGGCATGTCGTGGTGGCCCGGAGTTTTAAGACAGGCGTCTTAAAACTTCTCATACATGAGGGTGCGGGTTCGAAACCTACCAACGGCAAGTACCAATGAGACTTTTTCCGAGTTATATGTACTTTCTAATATTATCTAGATACCACTGATAAACGGTGAAGGAAAACATGGTGAGGAAACCTGGGCTTATATTTTCTAATTATAAGTTTGTAATCACCAACCCGCATTGAGCAAGCGTGGTGATGAATGCTCAAACCTTCTCCGTGTGAGAAGAGGCATTGCTTAGCAATGGGCATTTATAGGCTGTTGATGATTGATTGATAAATGAACTGTTTAAAGCTGATGTTGCATGAATAACACGTAAACAAGAACGATTAAAATTGTTAAAACAATTTCTTTTTGGCAGCTTTTCGGGAGCGTTCCGTTTACATCCTGTTTACTCTATTTTGCCTCATATTAATTATCTTAATTCATTCTGGCCTTTTGCTCCATACATTTATGGGCATTGTTCTTTGTAGACCTGCTGTAAATTACATTAAAATCTACTTATATAGTGCACAAGAAGAAAAGTATATAGTATATAGGAACAATTAGTGCCAGTGACTACATCACTTGCACTGTTGTTTGAGAGGGCGTAATGATACTGAGGTGTCTTTTATAGGAGTAAATATCTATCTAAAATACGTAGGTAGAAAGTTAGAATATAATATTTTTAACGATGTTTTCGTAGAAGATACTCATGCGGAAACATTAAGATCTCTCGAGGTCGCGAGGAGTGCACGCTAAAACATATTTATGCGATATTATAACGAGAGAAACACTCGAGGGCCGCACTCCACGCCGCCCGCCATATAACAAGTAATCGTGGCACGGCCATGCCATTAACAACGGGGCATACAAAAGTTTAGCGAAAGGAAAACATATGAAAAGCGACCGGCCTGAATGCCCCACGCCCACTCCTCACCATTTTCACGCAAATTAAAAGACACAAACGTAACCATAGACAAGAATTTCCCGCGCGCGCTAAAACACACCATTCACAGACGTCGTATTCAATTGCTCGAGAGCGAAACGGAACGCCCCGAGGCATTAATTAGAGCAGAAAACTCGCGTCTATGGCCGTTCCTTTTTTAAAACTGAGGTCTTTATGCGAGCCCCCGCCTTTGTGCGCGTTCCGTTTGTGCTCATGGTTAAGTGTCAAGTCTTAGTGTCAAGCGATGCTTATAACCTCTTTGTTGACTATAATTTACGGGAAATCCGTATTCCATCACAAGAGGAAGACCTTTGAATTGTGCGCAAACTTCTTCATTTATCCTTATCACTTGATACATTAATTTGACATAAATAATTTAAATACAAATATTTTTGTTACCAGGTCAAACAAATATTGAAGAAGATCAAGAAACGTTACGGTGCAATTCAGCAGCCAGTCCTAATGTGGAAACTTCGGATGCTGAAGATGATATTTCGGTCGGTGACAACAGAAGCGAGACATCCACGCCTAAAAAGTCATTCACTTTCCCAGACGAATACAAAAAGCAAATAGACGGAGAAGATGCAGAAAGGTCGTCGCCCTTAGAATATAGTTTGAATAACCAAGCTAATTATAGTTCTCCATTCAAAGAAGATGAAAATGAATATGACAGTAGGGCGGAAGAACGAATGAAGTTGTACGATACTAGTTTGTTTCACTTGTATCGGCCGGAGCGGGATGGGAAGAAAGATGAGGGAACTGAAGGACCTAGTTACGAGCATATGACCGGCTTGTCAGACTCTATCTATGGAAGGTCTATGGATCTGTCGAAGAATTCGTTCCAATCGCAACTGCTAGCCGGCTTCGCGTCAGTTATAGCTGGGAGTACGCAGCGTGAGTCACAGGAAACAAATGGTAATTAATTTAATATATCCGTTGGTATCTTATTAGTATTCGAAAACTTGAACTTTTAGATTACTTTTAGGTTTTATTGCGCTGTTACGTTAGCATCAGTTTTGACACATGAAAAAATATTGATTATTGTGTTCTAAATGCTGGGATTTTATTTCTTAGAGCGTCAGTCTGGCAGTCGACCAACAGTGTCATCGAATTCGAGTCGCAAGCCGCGCCGGCGTCGCACTGCATTCACACATGCTCAGCTGGCTTACTTGGAGCGCAAGTTCCGCTGCCAGAAGTACCTAAGTGTTGCTGATCGCGGGGACGTGGCTGAGGCGCTCAGTCTCAGCGAGACTCAAGTCAAGACTTGGTACCAAAATCGAAGGTTAGTGCGTTGTAACACTACTTATTTCTTTTGTTTATGCTACAAAATGTCCAATTGGATGTGGCTCCAGAAAGTCCCATGCTGGGCGCCAAATAATTTTATTTCACAATTTTTACTTAACGCAGTCGTAATATCTAGACTTAAATTTGGATAATTGGTATTATGATAGCTTTGGTTAATTTAGGTAGACCGGTAGACCTATAGACTTTCGACAGTGGTGACTATGACCTATAGTCACCACTGTCGAAAGTAAATAGTTCAATTAACAGTATGGCACCCAAATGGGACTTATTGGACAAATAGTTAAATAGGACAAAAAATGTTTTTGGGTGTCATAATTATGACAAAACATTAATTTGAATTTTATTTATGTATAAAACATTATTTTTTTTTCCTTAGAACTAAATGGAAGCGCCAGAACCAGTTGCGACTGGAGCAGTTACGTGCGCAGGCAGCGAGTGGAGAGCGTGAGCTGTCGGCGCACGCGCTGCCTTTAGCCTGCGCATTGCTACCACCTTACCCTGCGTACATGCACTGTCATCTGTGAGCGTGGAACATAAATATATTTACTTGCTGAATATAGGAAACAATAGGGTAAAAAATCTGTTTCGAGCGTAAAGAAAAACTATTAATATAATTTCTACAAAAATTAAATATATAGCGTCATGCCCATCAGGCACTTACTCATCTTTAAGACTAATTACTATTTGCAACTGCAACACAAGTAAGATTATTGAAATTATTGTAATGTAATTAGATAAAAAAATAATTATATCTAGTTAAATTATTAATAGCAAACTAAATATGATTATTAAGCTAAAATTGATATAAGTTTGTAAATTGTAGATTAATATTAATATAAGTTATAAATTGTGCAATAATATTGAATTTGGTTAAGATTTAGTTACTTAGTAATTAATTTTTGTAGATATTTCTCATCTAGTCATTAGTGTTTAAGGTCTTAGTTGTCTATGATATAGTTTTTATTTAGTATGGAGGGATGTAAATAATTCATAACCTTTAAGATATAACTACTGTCCGTAGAACCAGAAATATGACACTTTATTGCAGAATATATATTGGTTTTGTTTGTTCATATTAACTTTCAACTTTTGTTCTTTGTCTCATAAACATAACATCACGCCTTTTATCCTTGAAGGGGTAGGCAGAGGTCCACATTATTTTATGGCTGCCTCGTTGTCCGAGTGGTCGCAAGGGCGACTGCCGAGCAAGGGGTCTTGGGTTCGATTCCCGGGTCGGGCAAAGTATTATTGGTTTTTTTTTAATTCTCCAGTAATAGCACGGTGTCTGGCATTGTGCCCGGTATATGGCAAAAGGCTCACCCCCTATTACATGGGACTCATAACATAAATAGTGAAAAGTGTTTTTATTTAATTCTGTACAAATTTAATTAGTTATTAGGTAACTTCCAATTATTCTGTAGTATATTAATTATACACATTAATACTGTTGAATATAACAATTCCCATGTATGTAATAATAAAAATATAATATTGTACAGTTAGGTAAGTAATACTAATATTAAATAGTTATTCCAAGTTATCTCTGTGTAGAATCCACAACCGTAGCTTTAATGTTGAATAACGTAAATCCAATGGTAATAGCAAGTAAAATGATCTTAAATCACCCCCAGCTTTTCAATCAAGCTCCATTTCTGAACCCACCATTCAATTCTGTGCGAATTATGCAAATGTTTTGGCGCCATTCCGAATCATGGCTGCCAACCGCTCGCAATTTGCATCTCTTAGCAAGTTGTTAACATTCGAAACGGGAACAAAGCCGCTACAGCGCTCTGGATTTTAAGTGCAGTAAGTATATGCGCTCAACTTTACCCGGCTTTAAAGCGCAGCAACGCTTTAAGAGTAGCAAGTTTGTGACTCCGACAACTTTGACCGGGTCTCAGAGTCACATTTACTGTTCAATTTATTCAAACAAATGCTAATTTGTAGCTTTTCGTTTCAAAATTGTTGATTATTTATCCGTCTTTATTTCAGATTTGAGCAAACGAGGGTTTATTAAAGGGTGGGTTCGTGTAATTGGACTGTTTTGATGTGGCGGGGTGTGGCGGGCGGGGTGCGGGGCACGGTGAGGGTAATTGAAGTATTTTCCCGACGTTTGGAGGGTAGTTACGTTACCCGAGGCTGAATGGATTAGTTAGCGCGCCCGAGATAACGATCTGTCAATGATGCCTGTATAATGGGCGGTGTCACGGTGTCGCTTGTATTCTTTTATTAGCCGTTATTTGCTGAAGATTACGTTCGTTTAGTTTGTTTTGATTTAACCACAGTTTGTGTGTGCTCACTGGCTTGTGAACATTTTGTAGCGACTTTAATGATATGATTACTGTGCCTTTTATATTTATCTATTATATCTTTTCCTATTTATGTCGTGGGAATGAACTGTTACCGACATTCGATCAATAATTAATTCATTATAATTATAATTCATCAGTTACGTAAGTTTGGCGTCCTACCCTGCACTGTAGGACTTTCGTCAATGTAGTGATTGGAATTACAGAAATATGCACAACTCATAGCAACGGACGGCACGTTTGGTGCGGTGTTTGGGCAATCGGCTGCCGTGCAACGTGTCGCGGGTTCGATTCCCGCACGGATCAATTATTAGCATAAATACTATTCTTGGGATGAAAAGAGGACCTTTAACAGCAGCATAAACAACTGGTAGACATTCTTGTGTGTCCATTTTCCTAGATTTTAAAGAGTTCAGGGTCAGTCAGTGAGTATCATGACGCCGATGGGTCAAGTATGTAGACGATGGTGAAAGGTAAAACAGAAATTGATACATTGTTTTATTGGTTTAAGTAACCTTATCGATGGTACGTCATGATCGTCGACTTACGTTTGTGATGTACATTTTTTAAACTCGAAAAAAAATTAGCAGTCACAAATTCAAATCAAATCGCTAAATTAGAAATCACATGAAATGCTTAGGCGATTATCACATGGCACCGCGCACCGCCGCGGAGGTCGGTGGCGGTAAAGCGGATTTTGTAGCGGAACTTAGCGCGGTAAGGCGGTTTACGCGCCTGTCCGCGCAGTTGGATTTAACGCGAATTTGACCAGTTTGATGTTACAGACACTAGCAAGAATGGACGCTGAATGCAACACATCTTGCACACACGATGATTCTAGCGGTTATGCGGCGCTCCGTGTGTGATGCACCGCCCCTCAGCGCGGCCGGCCGCGCGGAGTGGCGGTGGCAGTGAGAGCACCGCTCGAACGCGCGGTCAGGCGGTGTACGTGTGTTAGACATCGACGGATTTAATACAGATCAATGCGACATGAGATCCGCTTCGCCGCCCTCCGCGGCGGCGCGCGGTGCCGTGTGATAATCGCCTGTCTCTATATGTAATATTCAATAATTTTGCAACTATTATAAAGGCATATTAGCCGTTTGATTTGTCCATTAACCTCCGAATATTTTGTTAAATAACGAGTTTTTCACGAATGATCGTGGTAACGATGGAGCCAACAGCCGCTTTACAAACTATTTACTTCGACTTTGAGTCAAAGCATTTATTACAATTAAACCATAATTTGGTACCTTTGATACGTCAACAAATTCAAAGTAAACAGACTGTTATAGTCTGTCAGTCTGTCCGTCAGTGAAGCTAGGTGCTTGTTCCAAAATGTAGGTTCGAATGGAGATAAACGAGAAAGTTTTTCAATATCTCTGAAACACTACCCAATATTGTACGTAAGTACATTGAAAACAATGTAAAGAGACCCTTGACGCATTATACAAATTACAAAACTTGCTGAAATAAAAAAAAAATTGGTGTGTAGACTGAGCGGACAGTATGGTCGACTTAAAAAACACACATAACATCACGCCTTTCAACTCATATTGTAACTCTAAGTTTTGTACAATCACTGTTAGTTTAAGAAACTTATACATTTTTCATTTATTATTTTAACCCCGAAGTGGTAGGCAAAGGTGCACATTACGGCACTTAATGCCACTGTACAATGTAACACCCACTTTTCGCTATTTAGTCCCATGTAATAGGGGGTAAGCCTATTAAAAACTAAACTTAAGCCGACTTAAAAACTAAATACATAATATGGTTCACTTTACAGGTTTGTTTACTATTTATTATACCTATTTATGTGTACAGTCACAGATACATAAGTGCTGGTTACATTCAGATGGTGTTTAAAATATGGGCAGTGATAATGTTACCTGGCTGGCATATGCTTAAAACGCCTGTGAAGTACAAGGATTATTTAAGAATAATGGAATTACGAGTGGCATGTTACGAAGTCAGTGTTACTACCGCAACATAATATTTAATGATTGTCATATTATTGATTCCAAATAGCACTAAGACAATTGATTTACCTCGACCATTGATAAATTAACCAGGAGCGAAGATATCTTCACAGAATACATACTACATGGTTATCACACGCTGCGCTGCATGAACACATGTTAGGTACATGTCTGTAACTATAAACAAAGTTATGCGTCGTCTACCAAATCATAAACAGGCTTTTAATTAAATCTGATGTTAGTCTTGGCATTTGTGAATGTTATCGATCTCATAGACATGCATTTTCTTTACCATATTACCTTATTACTTGTACTAGTAATCACTAACATTAGGTGCCAGCAAATATTAAATGAAAAATTGCTTATTTCCGAAAGTAAGGCTGGAGAAAAAGTAAACATACGTAGGACGAACGTGGACAGAAGATTTCTAGAAGATTTAGATGACTACGAGTGGCACGTCGCTCATCTTCGGGGAGCGATCCTCGATGGCAGGAGGGATTGTATGGAGGATACGTTTGCAGACAAGGTCAGGAGGTACAGGAGGATGTTGAAAAGTGACGGGGCCAGAGTCGACTTCGTGTCCAGTGATCCTATTCCCCTAAACACTGCTGATATCGGCGATAACTCTTGCAAAGTAAATGATGATATTCTAAATGGTACTCTTAAAATGGAATCATCAGGTTTGTACAATGTCACTGGTAAAATGAATGTCGTACCTACAGTATCTGTTTCAAACGTTACTTCGGTTGAAAATGCAACGACGGCTATGAAATTGGAGAGTACCACTGTAAAATTAGATTATCAGGCGACCACGCAGAAGACGAACGCCAAAGTTTTGAAGAAGAAAAAGAAGGTAGAAGAAATAGAGAAGACAGAGAATGATACGGTGGTGAGACGAGCCAGCGAGTACATGTTCAGCTCGATAGAGTACTATGATGAGTCGGTGGAGTTCAACACAGACATGTGCCCGGATGCTGTGGAAGTGATCGAGCTGGAGATAGATCAGCTCCGGAGCTACGACCTCGAGTGTGAGATGACTCTGGAGTGGAGGAGTTTAGAATAATACATTATTTCGTTTTTGTTTCAAAGTTAAATATGCAAAGAGAATAGAAGTGTAAAAATAAAAGGGTTGTTTAATTATTTTGAGCCAGTAGGCGTATATCATTAGTGTATTTTGCTACTAATTAATATGTCGGCTTTTTTACACCTGAGAATGCAATATCTATTTGATTA